GAGTAAACTTGGAATTAATGTCATTGATATTTAGGTGAAGAAATTTGAAATTTTGAATTGTTGTAAGTCTACCATAAAATTCAGAATTTTGAGGTGGAGTGCAGTTTATTTAGAGATCGGCTTCAATCAGTGCAAGACCCATTCGAACAGCTTTTATAATCTTGTATCAAGAATACTTCCATACTTTTATGCTTTATTTCATAGGAAAATATTCCCAATATAAAACTATAATGATTATTTGAGCGGACTTTGCAATGACTGAATCCCATTTCGTCTAGTTATCCCTGATTCCCTGGAAGAGAAAATTGTGGAAAGATCAAACTAAACAAAAGCGGGAACGGATGTACTACAAGTAGGACTGTCCAAAGAACTACGTGTAAACGTAACCCAATCATCGGTGCGGTGAACGCATTTATATACAGTTAGCACTTAGCAGATGTAGAAGTAAGAGATTGCCTTGTTGATCGAATTTTGTGATGTAAATTGGAATTTGGAGGACCATGTTTTCATTAAAATAAACCATGGAAAGCATGCATGGATATGTTAAAGGTTTTACACGCCATCAAAGATCAAATTCAAACACGGCTCCTTTCATTTAGTGAAAGTACACATAGATAGGACTTAGGAGGTATTTGCTTGGAAATTGGTAGCCTAATAAACAAGAGTGCCAAGCCATTTCGGTTTTCGGATCAAATGAACTTACTAGTTTCAATCATTCAGTGTCTCGGTGTCAGAAGAAAAATGCCAAAGGTCATACAAGTGTCACTTTCTTTTCTGAAACTGCCAGCTGGTTCAGTTGGTATATATAAAAGTCAATGGGTGCAGCTCAGCTCCCACTCCTCTCAGCTTCACCCACACTGTAAATTAAAACTCTACCCTAACCCCAAGGTTAGTTTAGAATATTTCAGTCCAATAAAAACTACTTGTTTTACATTGAAACAAAGTGGGACCTACATGGAATCTCTCTAACATTTTAATGCCTCTGCCTATACAAGAGAGAGAGAGAGAGACTGTACTGTAGTCTGCAACTCTTCATGCTTGTAGGTCCATTTCAACATTCAAACCTACAGGGATGCTGGGTGAATCATCATACATGTCAGCCTGACGTGTGGGATCCTTGTATACGGAACTCAACTGACGTCGTGTATTGTAATTGTAATTGGCCCACTAATTACGACGAATAAAATCTGTAGGCAATTTAAAAAAAAAAAAATACAGCAATATCAACACCCGAGAGGTACTGTTGTACCCTCTTGTCTTAATTCTTATATGCATTTCTTTCTTTTTGTGTATTTAAATCGTATATAGATTTCTAACTCCAGGTCAAACATTAACTATCAACACCCAGGGTTAGGGTGTTAATTGGACCGCATTTGATCCAATCCGATCTGATTCAATATGAATGTTGTTAGAAATAGACCAGGTCTAATCCAACCCAATAGATATTTTGGATTAGTCCAAACCTGGTCCATTGAGACCTATATTCTTATTTAATATTAATGGGCTGAGTATTGATTCAATCCAATATAAATCCAGTTCAATAAATACTTTGGACCATTAAGCCTCAAGGCTCTCAATTACTCCAATTCAATATGTCTATATTGATCCATCTAATTTGTACAAATTAATTTTGATCTGGATAAGGTCCAACGCAAAACCGGTCCATTAACACCCTACGTAGGGCCGTGTGTTCCACTTTTTCCCTCCTCTCATAACAATTAACATCTCCCCCCCGAACCAAACCTTGGAATTTCAATGAGTTTTAAATTTTAATCCTCCAATGGTGCTTTCTTTATCGCCGCTCCTTCCAATCCCAGGGATATATTCAACGATGCAAGTCTAATTAAATAATTCCATTTCCCCACTTAATCTTATATATTTTTACAGCTCGGCATGCACTGCCCTTATAAAATTACTTATCCCCCTGGACCCTGGTCTGTGATTAATTACATATTTACATATTATTTGAAAATTCTGCTGTCCTCTGTGTGCTCACAGAATAATTCATTAACGAGAACCAACTGCTCAAGACAGAATGCCACCATCGATCTAATTATGACATGGACAATCATTCAATTAAACACATATCCCCAGCTTTAAACAATTAGACCCGATTATTATATTTGCTTACAGCTTATACAGGAAAGCACACATTAATTAAACCCTTTAAGCTTGCTATTATTATATGTTGTGCTTATATATGTCAGAACAAAAGAAAAACCTTTCATCTTCCCCAACAGAGAGAGGGAGGGAGAGGGAGGCAACCTTGATTTACCACTGAAAGATAAGCGCCATAAGCCCCGTAACGTAAGATTATTTGATGTTAAATTGACCAAATGACGCAACAGGAAGCACATTCATCAAATCATATCGAATATCGATGGTTCGATACCAATCAACTATGATAGAAACCATTCAACAATTTGTGTTTCTATTTATATATAGTTGAGTGTCTCTTAAATCTTAATGGCTGAACAAAGGAAGCTGTACCGGTTGGATTGAGGTCCACTAAATTCTAAAATGATCTGTAACGTACAGGTCCGATACAGTTCAGATATTAGCCAATAAGGGAGGAGCCGAGGAGGGAGTTGAACTGACCATTCAACAATCAACACAAACTTATTTAGAAGCAAGTCTCTTGACTCCTGCACCTGCAGGTCGGTCAGGGCCCAGGGGTGGGACAGTCTCATGTGTGAAACTCATCATCTCCGCCCCAAATGAAATCATTTCATTTCGAATTCGAGCCTTCTAGTTAAATTAGATTACATCTACATCGTCTACAATTCCAAAATGGACGGTTTAACGACTCTGAGTCCAAAACCAAATTAAGCGGTTTTAGTTTTCGTAATCGTCTTTGTTTCTCAAAAGTCAAAACTCAAATAGGCGTCAACTTGATTGGAGGATCACGACCGTCGGGTTTTGATGTTTTACATGGTTCCTTTTTTTGGACCATTAATAATTAATTAAGAGGAGGTCAGCAGAAATCTGAAACTGACAGAAAGCATATATAAAATATGGAATCGGTTTCTATCAGTGCAGAGACTATTCTCGCACCGTTCGCGCAAAGCACGAGGACTTGATGCGTGCGAAGCGAATTAAACGGAGTCTATACTCCGCGTTGTTAGCTTCTCCTTCGTTCCATTCTACTTTCCGCTCGAAACTGACCGAACTCTGCCCTCGTCAGTCGCAGAAGGAAATTCCTCCTCTTCCTCCTTGGGTCATGTCTTCTTTTCTCTTAGTCTAGTGCATTTCAAAACTTAATATATCGTCGTCTGACCACGGTACCGAATACCCACTTAATCTCTCCCATCACCTTCCTCGACTCATCGAGCACTTGGCCCAATCTTTGGTAGTAAGAGTCTTCAATCACGTAAACGAATCTGGTGTTGGGTGAAGAAGATCCTGTAAATACATGACCTACCACACTCGAATTAAAGCTCAGAAGATTCATGAAAAAAAATTAAGAATTTAGAGAGAGACAGAGACCTTGCGACGCATGGTGAGAAGGGGATTGTCTGAGCCGTCCATGACTTGGATCTCTTCCCTATGACCATCCATATAATTGTCGACCCTAAAAACGAACTTACCGTCAGAATCGATCGTCGTAAACCCATTACAACTGAGCTAGAGTGACTTTCTCCACAGAGTCTGCGATCTACACACATCCACCCGCTCATACTTCCTTCGTTTTACTTCTTGACCAAATGTTCTCCTGATTCCTTTTCGTTTACCAGACWTTTAGAAAAAAAAATCATAGAATGAATTAAAAGAAAGAGAAAAATATTCAATGTTTCGAACATGCACCGGGTTAGGAAAAAAAATGTAATAGAATAGTAGTGGAGATACGGGGTATCGATTCCTGTAATAAAATAGCATGCTAAACGAGCGCTCTACCTGGTGAAATAGTCGCCGATGATGAATGAACCAAAAAGCTTGAGGTTTTTTTCTGGTCGCCGGTGATGGCCGTTGGTCGCCGCCAGTTGAAGAGGGTCTCGAGCGCCAGCGGGAAGTGGAATGGAACGAAGGAGAAGCTAACGGCGTAAAGAATAAACTCCGTTTAATTCCTTTTGCACGCATTAAGCCAACGCGTGAATCAAAAGACGCGTGGCACGTCCTCATGCTGTGCGAACATGGACTCAGCCTTAATAAAAGCCGGACTCGGAATGAGGCCTTCTTTTAAGTAGACCACGTGAAGGGACCGGATCTCCTTTCCACGAGAACTCTATTTACGCCTATCTACGTGAACATAATTCTAGTGAATAAGAGATCTGAACTCACGTAGAGGGGGCACACGTGGATAATCTACTTGCAAGGGCAACCACGTGTGAGTAAGAGTTAATTGGTGGGAGAATGACTGATTAATTCGGGTCAGAATTTTTTAATCCCACTGTACCTGACCGTTGATTAATGCCAAATCAACGGGCAGAATACGATTTATATTGGGGCTACTACTAATAGATTATAAGATTATATTTGGTTGCATAATAAAACCAAGTAGATGAAGTCCAGCCGTTCATTCCGAGATCGACTTCAGTGAGCGCAAGGCCCCTTCAAACACAGCTTTTACAGCCTTGCATCGGGAACATCTCCGTACTTCTATTCTCAATGCTAGGCTACGATGGTTATTTGAACGGGCTTTGCACCGACTGAATCCCATTTCGTTCATTCCGTATGTGAATTCGAATTCGAGCTGCCTGCACGTGACGTGATAACAAAAGCATTTCTAATAAAAGGAATGGGTACTTCTGTCACTTCGCTCAAAGTTGGACTATTGACTCTTCTCTCCTGGACTCCAAGTCCGACTCCGACTCCGACAGAACGTTACCCACGACACACGACGTCCATTGCTAGGATCCTAAAGACTCGAGACTGGACTGGACTGGACTCTCGACTCTGGAGGGATATGTTCGCCATTTCCTGTTAACTGAGTTTACTTTTAGTCATACAAAAAAGAGAAAAGCAGCAGTTGTCTTGTCCCCCACCATCTTTAAAAGGAAGACCTCTGTTCTCTGCTCTGCTGCTCCTGTATTCGATACACCAGCTTCCTGCCTGCCTTGTGATTTTTCTTCGCAATCGCAAACTCAGTTTGGGTTTCAATAAAACTAAATGCAGCTTGATTTATGAAGTTAATGACGGATTCTAAGCTTTTAAGGTTGCCGACATGGAGAAACTTGTTCGCCTATTTATTAGAGCGAAACCTCGAGATTTGGGTGTTTTTCTTTTTCCATGGCTGAGGGCGTCGGACGAGGCTTCTTCCAGCTAAAATACAACTCCGTTTGCGAATCCCCAGCTTTCATGAGTAGACTTCATAAGGGAATGCTATTGGAATTGGAGAGAAATCTTATGATTTGAATCACCACCACCATTCATCCCTCGGGTGTTTCTACTTTCTACGTTGATGCTTCAGTGGGAAGGTGGCAACTCTTAGCACTTTAGCGGCCGGTACAGGGCTCTGAAGAGAAAGGGTTTTAAGATGCGAAAGAAAATTTCAAGGTTTGAGCTTAATTCTTTGCAAGTATTGAACAGGTTGTTAAAATTAGGATGGCGCGGTGTTGCTTTTCTTCATGTTCCAGTTTCTGCTGTTTCGAGGCCCAATTTCGGATCTGAAGCCAATATAAATAAGCTTATTCCTGAGGATTGTCTTTGGATTGTGTGAGAAAACTTTTCTACCAAAATAATGTGTGAGAAATTCTGAATTTTAGCTAGGTTTAATCTCTTACCAAAAGAAGCTAGGTTTAATCATTGAATTTCCATGTTATGCCCCATTTCACTCCGGTTTCCTCAGAACGGGTGAACAAGAGTACAAGACCTTCATTACGGCTGTACAACCTAAGCAGAGTTCATTCTCTCCGTTTGAGTTTCAAGTCACAGTTTCCTTTTCTCTCTTGTAACCATTGCGGCTCTTTACTTTTTTGAAAGCATTTAACACTCAAATTGTTTCTGCTAGGTTTCTGCTAGGTATTTGAAAGCTTTTAAATACCACATCTTACTTTGAACTTCACAGTAGTTTGTTTTGCACCTAGAAATTGCTAATTTCACAAGTATACTAGTGCGGGCTTTTTCACTATCTTCTTTTCCCGCACCACGGCATGAGGCGGGATTAGGGCATCCCGGCTTGAGATTACAGGATGTTAATCTCATTCAACAGTACTCCTTGATGAACCGTCTTCCTTATACCGGGCTTGTCGTATTATGGTTCTCGGTTCTCCTATTCAGGTTTTCATTTCGGTTTCACTTCAAAACTTTGGTTCGAGTCACTTGAAGCTCTTCTGCTTCTTGCAGGGACTTCCGAAAGCTGTAATGACGGATCCAAATCTTCCGAGAATGCTACTTGGGGGACAAATCATGGAGGTGCAGAACTAGGCTTTCTGCTTCTAATCTGGTAAGGTTTGTAAGACAGTCTAGGTTCTTGAGTCGAACATTTCTCCCTGGCGCGTTACTTCTCATTCTTCTTGTTTTGTCAGATTTGGGGAGATTTTCAGCTCTAGTGGCGTCTCCTGACTCTGAAGGCCATGAGTTCCAAGAGAAAACCCATCAGTTTCACCCTCTGGTGAGTGAAGAGTGGTGATTCCTTAACCTCTGCAATCTCTTAGCCAGATCTTGGAGTTTGAGGTCTGGGATATTGTAATCCTCTTTCTGGTTGTTGCTAGCACGCACTTGGTACCTCCTTGACAAACGGAACTATGTGGTTGTGGTGTCTCCGAGACCGGATCTGCTCCTCACCCAGGGCCCTCACACCGACCTCACACGCACATCGGGAACATCTTCCGTATTTATAAGTTATTATACACGGGAGATGTTCCCAATGCACGGTGGATGTGCCCGTGAGGCGCCCCTGTGTAAGGAGCAGATCCCGTTCCGTTGTGGTCGGTAGTGTAGTGTGGTGCACTGGTTTGTACCACGCTTCTGCTGCTGCACTAATCTGAACTCCACTATCTGTTCTGTTCGTTGCTTATCTGGCAAAGAAGCTAGTGGATGAATTTTTACGGGGCTCACGTGAGACTTTCATAGCTCTTCCATTGTTTTCTTTTTTTTTTTCCTCCCCCGATGAACAACTGCTGTGTCATGGTGATAGTGCAGCAGCAAAGATTCAAAGTTTGTCAGATTTCCTACTCCCATTCTCTACCCGCACCCTACCCACAGTTCATTGCAGCCGCACATCTGCGATGTATGACTACAATTCACGGCGGGTAGAACATAGGTAAAGAGCAATAGGCAGGAAATCCGATTTGGCATCAATGGTCGGGCACAAGTTAGCAAAATCCTCATATAGTCATATTATAGCAAAATTGCACACTTTTTAGTTTTTATTAAGCTTCGGGCATCCAATGTTTTCCTTTGCCTTTAATACGTGCTTTTTTCAGTTTTTGCTTTTGGAAGAATTTTTTTCAGAGGTGTTTTAACTTTTTTTTTTCATTTTTTTGCCTTTCCAACTTCCAAGTGATTTTTCCTTTTTGTATTTCTTTTAAATTTCTTTTTACTTATTTTATATTTCTTTGGTGATTGATATGTGTGTCGAATGAGTTTCGAGTCTATAGTTGACTTTCTTCTTATCCGGCGTTACTGACCGTAAATGACGGAAATATCCCTCCATTTCTCCATAAATAGCTTCTGACTTCTGAGCGTCAGAACGCACTGCACAAGGGAAATGACAACGATTTAAAAAGGAAAAACAAAATAGTAAGGAAAGAGTGCAAAAACAAAGGGTTGGTTGTTGTTTGTTTGTCTCGGCTATGCCAACAATTTACGGATATTTACAGCGAACCTTCGAAAGAAATTATAGTAGTACCAGTTCCAGAATCTTTAGCATCAATTTTTCATAGAGCTGAAGGATGAAGTCAAAAACAAAATATTTTCGGAACAAGGTATTATGAAGAAAGAGACAAAAAAGATGGTTCCTCCGTTGCATAATAATTTCAGTTGTTATTTTTTTTTTTGTTTTCAGCAAATTTTATTTTATTTTTAACTTGCTGCTTGGTGCATGGAATGATGGAATATGCCTATGTAGTTAACAGGCTTACAGGCCTCTATGCCAGTTTGCTTCTCCGTGCAATTCTTCAAGATTAGAGACGAGGAAAAGCTCCATTTATATGTTTGGGTTTGCTTTTTTTATTCATTTATTTGTTAACCTTATTTACTTTTTAGTTGATACTGCTCCCTTTCTTTCCGTGGTATTGAGAGGGCATCTCTGTATTTCATTCAACAATTTCTTTTCCCTCTTTTTTTTCCTTTAAAAAGACAATCATGTGAGTGTTGCAGCAATTCAGGCATGCTGAAAAAACGGGAAATTATATTTTCTTTGTAGCTTTTAATTAGATGTTAAGTATTCACCTGTATTTTGCAAATCAGCTAACATGTTTTCACTTCCTTGTTACTGAATCAGGTGAAGAACTGTTGAGATTACACTCTCACAGACACGGTCACTTTCATACATCTATTAAGAAATTCCTTATGAAGCACCAAAACGTTATCTCCTCTTTCACACCTTTCATCACCTTCCTATGGTTTCTCTTTTCTCTGGCCATTGCTGACCTGAATTCGGACAGACAAGCCCTTCTTGATTTTGTTGATGCAGTTCCTCATGGCCGGAAACTGAACTGGAATTCATCTAGCCCAATTTGCTCAACCTGGGTTGGTGTCACTTGCAGTCAAGATGGCACTCGTGTGGTTGCACTTCGGCTTCCAGGAATTGGACTATCTGGTCCTATCCCAACCAACACTCTCGGAAGGTTAGATGCTCTCAGGGTCCTCAGCCTCCGATCCAACCGCCTGAGTGGGAGTCTTCCTTCTGACATTACATCCCTCCCTTCGCTCCATCATCTCTTCTTACAACACAACAACCTCTCTGATGAGATCCCCGCATCTCTCACCCCTGAACTCAACTTAATAGATCTCTCCTTCAACTCCTTTAGAGGCAGCATTCCACTCACAGTTCGGGATCTGACACGGCTGACTGGGTTGAACCTGCAGAACAATTCCTTCTCAGGACCCATCCCTGACCTCAACCTCCCAAGGCTTAAGCATTTGAATCTGAGCTACAACAACTTAACTGGCTCAATTCCGCCTTCCCTTCAAAAATTCCCTAACTCTTCCTTTGAAGGAAACCCTCTTTTATGTGGCTCACCTTTGAGCCTTTGCTCTTCGGTCATCCCATCATCATCTCCATCCCCTTCTTCCTCACTTCTGCCACCAACAGTCCCCACTGTGCACAGAAATGGATCAAAGAAGAAACTTGCAACTGGGGCTATCATTGCCATTGCAATTGGGGGTTCTGCAGTGTTGTTTCTTCTAGCTATAATCATCTTAGTATGCTGTCTGAAGAGAAAAGATAGTGAACAAGGCGGTGTCTTGAAAGGGAAGGGCTCTAGTGGTGGAAGAGGTGAAAAGCCAAAAGAGGAGTTTGGAAGTGGAGTCCAAGAAGCTGAGAAGAACAAGTTGGTCTTCTTTGAAGGCTGTTCTTTCAATTTTGATCTTGAGGATTTACTAAGAGCTTCAGCTGAAGTGCTAGGAAAAGGTAGTTATGGGACAGCTTACAAGGCTGTATTGGAGGAGGGGACAACGGTGGTGGTGAAGAGATTAAAGGAAGTGGTGGTGGGGAAGAAGGAATTTGAACAGCAGATGGAGATTGTGGGCAGAGTTAGCCAGCACCCAAATGTTGTGCCACTCCGTGCTTATTACTACTCTAAGGACGAGAAGCTCCTGGTGTATGATTACATACCAGCTGGAAACTTATTGACACTCATGCATGGTATGCTCTATTTGACACTTATTCATTTTCACTTTTGATGCGTCTGCTTCTGCTTTTATTAGAACATAGGTGCTGCCTTGCTGCCCTGTGTTTCTCCTTTCTTTTTTGGTAGTGATAAGTTGACATTGTCAGAAGTACTAAGACCTGAATACAAGCTGAGGATAGCAATTGAGTTCAGCAAAGGGGTGGGGGTATTCTAGTCCTTCATTAGCACTAAAACAGGAAAGAAGTACTTAGTTGAAAGTAGTCACATTTTCAGAGGATGTTTGCCAAGAAGCACTTTTTACATTTTGCACTTTATCCTAAAAATAATGGAGAACTGGATCGATCAACACAGGTCTCACTGGGTGCTGGTTCCAGAATCTGATTTATACAAGCAAGTTACACAACGGATGGTAAACTAATAGCCCTATAATATCTTCCATAATAGAAAACCATCCAGTATATAACGCCAAATTTCTGTAGTGTAGGCATTTTTTTCTCAATGAATCTTTTATTATGAATAAAATCAGAAAATGGAATTGGTGCATTTGATAACATTTGAAGTAGCTGAACTGAATGACTTGTTGTTTTGTCTTTTAGTGGATAAAATAGTCATATAGTAAAATACAGGTCAGTAACCAACCCAAAATGCCATTCAATCATTATGAAGCTCACAACATACTTTATGACTTGTAGTAGGCATTTAGTTCAACCATTTCAGCTGTTATCAAACAGCCCCTTCAAAATAAAACTTTCAAATAAGTGGCCTTCCAGCTTGGCTCAGCTATGGGTCAAATGCTATAACTGGTTCTATTTCATGTAGTGCAGTGCATCACTCTCAATCTGGTTGCCTTAGCCTAACCAGACCCTAATTTGGAAATTTTCTTGATAAGTGTAAATTGTGTTTAATATGAGGGTGAGACCGTGACGTGAGAGGCCCTCGTTCTATATGTCAAAATCATGGTTTCTAGGCAAACACATTTCTAGAGCTCCAATTAAAGGTAACATGATTATGCAGTTCATATCAAAGTTAAGATTCCAGGTCTTCCTGCCTTTATTTTTTGAAATGTAATCGAGAATAATACCCAGTGGCACCGGAAGAAGTCCAATAGATTCAGGATTTCGGTTGCTGGCTATAGAATGATTGATTCATAGCCCCACCGCAAAAGCTATCAGATAGAAATCAGTGGGGAATGGGGAATTTTTTTTTCTTGTGACGGAGGATCGAGATTTTTAGTCCTTTGTGTATATTTTGAAAATGTACTGCATGCAATTCAATATTCAGCAAAGTGTAGGATAATGATTTTATCATTTATGTTAACATTTATAGCCAATTACTGAAGTATGTAAAAGAAGCCTGCCATGCGATTCATGTCCATGTTGAGATCAAAGCATGCTCTCATCCATCTATCCGTCGTCGTAGACATTCGAATAACTGAGGTAGTAATTATAAATTTGATGCATTTCTCACTTCAGTTTTTGTATAATGCAATAACAGGAAATAGAGGCAGTGGAGGAAGATCTCCACTAGACTGGGGCTCCAGGGTAAAAATCTCACTTGGAGCCGCAAGGGGTATCGCCCATATCCACTCTGAAGGTGGTGGAAAATTCATTCATGGTAACATAAAGTCATCCAATGTTCTTCTCACTCAAGACCAAGATGGCTGCATCTCGGATTTTGGGCTGGCTTCTCTCATGAATTTTCCAGTAATCCCATCTCGAAGTGTAGGCTACCGCGCCCCTGAGGTGATTGAAACCCGGAAACCAACTCAGAAATCTGATGTATACAGCTTTGGCGTGCTCCTCCTTGAGTTGTTGACAGGGAAAGCTCCACTCCAGTCACCAGGGCATGATGATGTGGTCGATCTCCCCAGATGGGTCCAGTCAGTTGTGAGAGAGGAATGGACAGCCGAGGTATTTGATGTGGAGCTGATGAGGTATCAAAACATTGAAGAAGAGATGGTCCAGATGCTTCAGATTGCGATGGCATGTGTGGCTAAGGTGCCAGACGTGCGACCTAAGATGGAGGAAGTAGTCAGAATGATTGAGGAAATCCGGCAATCTGACTCGGAGAACCGGCCTTCCTCAGAGGAGAACAAATCCAAGGATTCGAATGTGCAGACGCCGTGATTATTATTATTATTATTTGCTGGCTATGCATGTTGGTGTTGGATACTCGTTTTTCTTACGGTAATGTTTAACATGCATAACGTATACATGCTTTGGTTTTTTACTAACAAAGTTTTAAACCCAACTCCATGTATTCATTGTGCATGAAATGTAACCCAATTGCGTGATTTCTTCTTAGTTTAGGTCTTTTCTTTTTACTGTTTTTAATAATTAATCTATTTGTTGTCATTAGATGAGGGTTTTGTTTCCACCATTTATTGTAAAAACTCTGTTTCTTTATTATTGTGAATTTGATTTATTGTGTTCAATCAGTGTATTATGACCATGTTTTACTACGCTGGCTGAAACGTAACAGATTTCTATTTGTTACTATCCTAGATCTTCTTCAACCTGGTCCAACTCGACGTTGAAACCCACAATTGCCAATACCCAGCCCATGGGCTCAGCCAGGAAATTTTTAGTGGGGAGGCCGGAGGGGGGAAATATACATGTACGGGATAATATGTGGGATTTGTTGGTAGGGACGCAAATGGATCGCATTGTATTCGAATCATAATCATGGTATATTTGAATTTGATTTGATCGGATCTGATACGTCTCGACATGAATTTGAATCTTATCGGTAAATCGAATCTTCGGATCTGATTCGATCTGATTTGTTTTCTTTAAAATTTAATAAATTATTAAAAGAAAAATAAAATATATCAATTTAAATAAAGAAAAAATATAAGTATTTTTTAATTATTTTTATTGTATATATACATCTTTTTTATAAATAATATAATAAATTTATAAAAATAAAATATAAATAATATATTTATAAATAAACAAGTAAATATAAATAAATATATAATATATATTAAATCGGATATTTTCAAATTGGACAGGGGTGATCCAAAGCCGATCCAATTTCTGATTAGATGATTAGATCTATTATTCGATCCAATCCAAAAATTCGGAACAGGAGTGATCTGAATTCGACAAAATAAGATCAGAAATCATATCCAATCCATTTACATCCCTTTTCTAGGCCATGCTTCCATGCTTCCCCCGTTTCCCGTGCTCCTGACTCCACCCCTGAATCAACACCATGTAAACTCGACATAACTCGGATTGGGTGTACCAAGAAGGAATAAGAGATAAATTCAAGATGTGGTTTTCAGATAGGATTGGGATGAGCGTCAGGATAAAGTTTGATCTGAGTTGTTTTTTTGACTGATCAATATGACGTATTTTTCCGATTTTACCAATAGAGTTTTTCCTGCATTTCTCTGAAACCTTACATTAGCATCAAAGCCGAAAGTTGATCAAAGAAGCATCTAAATTGGTCTGCAGGTGGCCGATATTTTTTCTACCCACTGAGCTAGCGTAGTCCCTTATTTAGCGTGTTATCTTTTATTTATTAATTTATTTTAAATTAAAAGGTTAATCTTCATTGAAAATGCTCAAATTACAAAAGATTCACTAAGCAATAGACACCGACAGACTCAACCAATACACCACGTAGAAGTAGGGCTGTTTATCAAACCGCACCGATTTAACCCGAGATAATCGGTTTTATAAAAATTTCGGTCAGTTTTAGTTTAAATAATGGTATAGCGCAACAATTTGGTTTGGTTAAGGGTTATACGTTGTAATCCTATCCGACATTCCATAGTATATCATACATAAAAAGCTTCTCGTAAAGTTAAGGCTCCTCTAAGCTGAGCCTAAAGTAAAACCTTAAAAATAGTAAAATGTATATCATATTTAAGCATTCATATCTCAATAAAAAATGGGCTATAAGTAAAAAGTCAGCAGCCAAATCTTAATTGTTGACGCCTGAAAAGGCTACTAATTTAACTTTTTTTGCCAATACCGAAAATTTTCAGATGGTGTTTATAAATAATAATTAATTGATTATTATGTGAGAAAACCGAAAAGTTAAAAGCTCTTTCTAACTTGGGCCACAAAATGAAGAAAAGGAGACTAGAAAAGGACAATGGTGGTTTGGTTTCATTCAAACCTTTTGTTACATCTAATTTCGGCTCGTTTTTTTTATTAAACTCGATTGGTTTCAGTCGACATATGAGTCAACCTGAGATGATTGGTTCGGTTGACAGAAATTAAATCGACTCGACCCGACCTACAGCCCTGCTTAGAATCAACCAACAAACTCAACGGTAAGTAACACTTAAAAAAAAAGGTAACAAACAAAAGCCCATCAGATGCAACAACCAAGGTTGAAAGAGATGTTAGGTAAATTAAACATTAAGGCCCTGCTTATTTTTTGATAAATTATTTATTCAGGTAAGTGTATTTATTCATGTTCTTTTATTTCTCAAGTAAATAAGGTAATGGCCATTTTAGCTATAGAAATTCATTATTAAAAGGGGAATTTTTGGCAACTTTCTCCCTATGTGGAAAAGTAATTTACCCATCTAAGAGATGGGTATCATTTTCCTGGGTAAGTGATGCCCAAGAAAATAAATTTTTCCCGATTCCACATAAAACTGAAAAAAGAACATGGGATTCTTGGTCAATGGGAATCAAAATCCCATTAACCAACTTTTTCCCCTCTCCAAATCCAAAAAAAAAGAGCGCCCCCCAAGAGTGTCATCGAACAAGGCCTTTGCAAGCTTTATCCAAAATTAAGCAAACACCATAGAACGAAGGCCAAAAAGACTCCAACAAAGATCACTTTGCCAACAAAAACTCCCACAACAATGAAGGACTAAACATAGAGCCTAGAAAAAACCACCAAAACTAATATAGAATATAAACACTTGAAACAAAAACATACCAATCTTACTTAATCAATTTGGATTAAGGTCCACACCCACAACAGTTGTCGGCCCATAAGTTTCTCCTCCAAAAGTAAATGAAATAGCCCACAAATCATTGAAAACGCTTTATAAAAAAAAAAAAAAAGGGAAAATTCTCAATAGTACCCTGTACTTTGGCTCGAGTGACAATTTGATACCTAAACTTTAAAATGCAACAATCTAGTTCCCAAACTTTTAAAATGTGACAATCCAGTACCTACCATTAACCAGTCCGTTAATCAGCCGTTAAGTGACATTTGAAAAGTCAAAAATGCCCTAAGAATGCCATATAATTCTCTTTATCAACCATCCAAACATTAATAATAAAATGAACAGTTCCAAATTCTAGATTCTTCTAAACAGTCACCAACTTTTTTGAATTGAAGAGGCTAGGATTTGGGACTGTTTAGTTTTGTTGTCAACGTTTGGATGGTTGATGAAGAGAATTAGATGGCATTCGAAGGGCAATTTTGACTTTTCAGATGTCACTTAACGACTGATTAACGTATTGGTTAACCATAGGTACTGGATTGTCACATTTCGAAAATTTGGATATTGAATTATCACATTTTGAAAGTTCTAATACTGGATTATCGTATTTTAAAGTTCGAGTACCAAATTGTCACTCAAGCCAAAATACAGGGTACTGATGTGAAATTTTCCCTAAAAAAACATTTTTGACATTTGTGACCCAACACTCCAATTCATGGTATAAAATATCACTGCCTTTGACTCCACACCTTGACTCCCTCCGGTGGATTCAAAACATAGAATGGGACAAAATCCATCGATCTCGTCCCTACCCACCACCATGAACTATGTGATCGTCAGAAGTTCAGAACAAGAAAATGCTGTTAAGAGTTATAAATTAAGTGACGTTTCTTTAAATAGTTTATGATTTAAAAAAAAAAATGAACCTTCTACCAGGATGCCGTAAATCACTTCACTGCCGGAACAGCATTGGAGACATCATCTTCTCTGGTTAATCCATTCTCACTTAATCCCATTACCCACTAATGCAGGATTTCGTGTGCTGGAAAATCCCTTTGCATGAGAGAGGAATGCCAATCCCATTGAAATCCGAACCGAAATTAAAGTCTCCACACTTTTGGACCTTACGCATTCTCACTCCAAATCATCTCCAACACTAGCTTCCACCGTTTATCCAATAGTGTGTTCTCTATTTAGTTTTTTAAGTCAATTTACATTTAGGGTCCGTTTGGTTTACAGTCATAATTATAATTAAAATCGAAATTAGAATGATTTATTTCCATAGACCGGTTTGATTTAGACAAGAATAAGAATGGAAATTAGCAGTAACTGGAATGGGATTTCATTCTCAAGGAAAAATGAAGGAATAACCATTCCACCAGGAATTAGGATGGCATTCCAATTCTCCCAACCAAACCGTTGAAATTAGAATGATCCATTCCAATTTCAATTTCAGACCTCTATTCCAATTTCAACTTCAGACCTTTATTCCTATAAACCAAATGGGACCTTAGTTTTATTTCTCATTCTTTTAGCAAGTCCGCAGGCTGTTGGAATCTTTGTTGTACTTTCATCGGCAGCTATGATGTTTTTGCGGAGGTTCTCTTCTCTCAACCTCCTCCCTCTCATCTCCTCTTTAGTGGTCGTTGCCTCATCTAATTAGTCAGCTAGAATTGTTTCTATTTCATGTCATGCATCCATGGTTTTTAAAATTGGATCAGATCGGAAAAACCAGGAACTGATATGTTTTACCCTAAAACTGTTATTTCATTAAAAATCATTGATTTGATCAGTAAACCATTGATTCAGGCGCTGGAATCGTTTGAACCATCTAACAGTTTGACTATTTTTTATATTTTTTTATTTTTTATCAGAACAAACCATCTATTTGGTTCAAATGATCAGATCGTTTGACCCAAGAACCAAATCCTAACCGTTTGACCCAATAACCGAACCCTGATCAGTTCGTTGTTCGGTTCAATTTTAAAAACCATACATAAGGGATATAATCTATAGCCTAGGTCCAGCCTAAGCTCTACGCGAATGAGTTTTATGTAAAAATATTAAATTGATATAATATTTTATATATTATTTGTATTAATTTTTTTTTGTACATATATAATATAAAATAATATGTATACGTATGTGTAAGTTATATATAAATAAATTTATGTAGGATTGGTTAGGCTTGAACGAGGCTTGACTCTGAAATTTATAAGCTTGATGCGGGCCCAAGCTTGAATCGGCTGAAAATTATCACCCCTGACATACGTACATATGAGGCATGTGTCTTTATTAAAGGAATGAATATAGGTTGGGTTGGACCAAACTTGATTTAGGTTCGGACACCACGGGCCTTAACCTGAGACTAACTTGAGTTGAGGACCTCTTGAGGTGAAGCCTGCGTTTTCAGACCAAGATACAACCTGAGAGCTCGAGAATTCAAACCTAATCTGTATACAAAGTTAGGATGAGCCCGCCTAGGGTTGGGGTGGTTATGGCCGGAGGAGAATGCCGCGTTTAGCAAGAAAGCGAAACAGATAAAACAATCAGTAATTTCCCCAAAAAAAAAACAAGTAAGAAGGTAAGAAACAACAACGCGGAATCGGATGCACTTGTTGACTTTGACGGTTTGACACCGACCCCGGTCTAAGGGGTCGGTGCGCTTAATCATCATCAGTAGAGACAGAGAAGTGGCATCATCATTCATCGTTGATTGTTCTTTCGTCGAACCCGAGGATAGGAATTTAGGAAAGGAGGCCCGAGGGCGTGGAGACGTGGACTGGTTCCTTCCTCCAAACTTCTATATGATAATACGCGTGAGCCGTGACTCGCGAGTGAGAGAGCATGCCATTTCAAAAGTTGTTAAGGGTATATAAAGGCAAAATAGTCATTCGGCGCGGCCGTCCTCTTCCTCTTTAAGAAGGGCCTTTCGTTTCTCTGCGAATTTAGGGAAATTTGTGATTTCAGGGTCAGGGGGTGACGGTGCATCTGTTGGCTGCTGCTGGAAATCCGTCCCTTTCCACGCCGTTGCTCATACTATTAACTCACTTCACCAAATTTTCTAAGCTTGTGATACGACCCTAACTTTCTACCAGGTGAGCATCATTTCTCCGTATATTGCTTTCTCTTGTTATCTCCCTCGTTTTTTTTAGGGATTGCTGTGCAGTCTATGAACTATATTGTTTCAATTTGAATCGATCAATAGTCTGATTTTGTTTGTTTCTTCTGAGGGGTTTATTAGCTTATTGGTGCTGGGCTTAAAGCAAAAGGGTTACATGTTGATGAGGCTCACGTGTTTTTCTTTTCTTTTTTGGGTTGCCAAGGCCGTGAAATCTTTTAAATACGGATCCCTATTTTAATCTTTTTTTTTTAATTCTTGCAAGGGTCTTCTGCCTTTTGACTTTGAGGATTTAGCATGTTCCTCCTTGAGATGTCGATTGGTTCTGCATAATTCTAGAGTTCCTTACGATTTTGATCATATATTGAATCTCTGCGGTCTTTTGACTTTTTTAAGTTTTAATTGAACCAGCTTCCTCTCATGGCGTCAAAACGTATACTGAAGGAACTCAAGGATTTGCAGAAGGACCCTCCTACGTCTTGCAGTGCCGGTATGCTATCTCTTTATTATTTGTTGTAAATTTCTTATCTGCTTGAAAGTGCAAGGGCCTGTGTTTTTTTCCCAAATATATACATAAAATCTTCTATTATGTTTGAGTTTGTCACTGAGGTTATTTATTTGTTTTTCATTCTTGTATATCAGATTTTTCTTTTTTGCTGTCATTTAGTCTATCAATTGTTGGGTACATGCAAATGGTGAGGTGTCGAGGGTTTCAATTGCTTCGAAGTTTACTTGATTCATATTGAAACCTTTACTTGTTCCTCAGCATTGAGAAGTAGTTATAATTGTTATTTGTATTATCTGTTTTGATACTAATATACGATTAGATCAATGTGTTACGTTCTTCTAGTTTGATAGTTCTCCATTTCTAGATTTAGGTTCAACTGATAAAGTATTTAATGCATCTTTTATGTCACCTTTGTAATTGTGATGGTTTTGGCTTTTGCTTAAACAGACGTTGCTCATTGTGAAAGATATCTGTGTTGAGTATTTGCATCTAGTAACTTGGATGTTTTCTTTCCGTCCTTTCACCCCTTGACAAGGAACAAATGCTTTAGATGTTTCCTTTCTGCCTGATGTGTCTGATTACCGGTCAAGCAACCTTGCACATAACTGTGTGGTTCATTTTGCATAGGTCCTGTAGCTGAAGATATGTTCCATTGGCAAGCAACAATCATGGGACCCCCAGATAGCCCATATGCGGGAGGCGTATTCCTGGTTACTATTCATTTTCCTCCAGATTATCCTTTTAAACCTCCTAAGGTACCAACAAGGAAAAATCTCTACATGTTTATTAGTTTTTGTTATTTGTTTCTTTCTATACATACTACACATGAAAAATTAACGTAAGCATGATGGTTTGACATCTATGCTTTACATTATTATACTATTAGTTTGCTTGAAGCTTATTTATTCTATTAACTGTTACTTGAGAATAATATCACCTTTGCAAGTTTCACATGCTGCCTATATCACTGCAGAAGGAGAATTATTGAGTTTTTTTCCTACAATTGATAGTTCTTCATTTGTTTCTGCATCCATATGTGCAACTGTCAAAGGATGCCCATCATTGTTGCTTTGATTTTGGGTTAGTTAAGTGATAAGTTATAAGATAATGTGGTCTGTAGTATCATATTAACTCCACTGTTCAAGACTTGCATTGGTATTTAGATTCTTGAGGCCCAAAAAGAATAACTTTGATGGTGATGCCAACCTACTTGATTGTATTAATCTTTGTTCCATTTTTCTTTCAAGTGTAAGTTATGACTTCACAGTGCATGAGCTGAGACAGCAAGAGATGGATTAGAGTGGGGCCATCTAGATTAGGGATTGGATTGTAAAACAATATGCTTTTGCTTGTAGCTTTAGAATCCAGGGGCAGCGTCTGGTGGATTTTCATATTGCTACTGTTCTCATCTCCATGCTAGGGAAATGAGATTATCACTCATTTCTCATTAATGAAATCTGATATTAATAAAAAAATGACTTCAGAACTTGCACCCCAATCAAAAGATAGAAAAAAATGAACTGATAAATTAACTGATTTTTTATTGGCATTAGAAATCAGTCATGTCTCTCAATTCATTCTCCTGTCCAGTTCTAACTCACTGATATTATAAACTGTAAACCATTGGCATCATCTTAAAGGCTTGATTAAGATCTTTCCCTTTTATGTAGTTGGTATGGAGTTATGATTTTCTTGTTTCTTTCACTTTGTTTAACTAACAATGTATACCTTGTTTGTATATGTGTGTAACCCACTATTATTATTATTGTTGTTACCATCAACATTAGGCTTATTTTGGTGAGTCATTAATTTCCATTATCATCCGTAACATTCATATATTTGATACCCCTTGTTGAATATTCATGCACCCCGTGTCAATATTTTGGAAACCAGACTGAGCTTTGAACTGGAAAGGAGCCTAATTCTGTTTTTTCTTGGTTTACTTGGAAAACCTTTTAAACCGACCAGTTATTATTGAGCTAAAATGGATCTATTCTTATTTTCCCAGTTCAATAGGTCAGTAAGCAATGGATCTGCTCTTATTTGCTTTTCATTTATTTTGATGCATATTAAAAAAACACAAACATGGGTGAAAAGGAAACAAATGGTTTGAGCTACAATGATCCCCATTCCATATGTTATATATGGATAATTCTAGCAAATATTGTTTTCCAGTTATGTATTACATTTCAGGCATAAATAGACATTTTATTGTTGCATTGCTGTTTCATAGCATATATTTCATTGGTTTTGATTAAGTTCTGTTGCTAGAGGAAGCTAATTATCTTCATCATTCAGGTTGCATTTAGGACCAAGGTCTTCCACCCCAACATCAATAGCAATGGGAGCATTTGCCTAGACATCCTTAAAGAACAATGGAGTCCTGCTCTTACCATCTCAAAGGTATGTTTTAGGAGACAGCTTTTGTTGTGTGTTTTCCCAATTATGCCAAGTGTTCTTGTAGTCAATCCTGTTTTTAGACATGATTCTTAAAATTAAATACTTTATGCCTTCTGCTCATACATGGCTGTTATTGTTTCTTTGAAGAATCATAATTGGAAAGAGAAGGATAGATGGAAATATGTTTTTGAACCACTTTGTTTATTTTGACTAGGAAAAGTATGCTGTCTAGATCATGTTGATATTTAGAAAAAAAAAAAAATTATCAATGCCAGAAAGGAGGTCCCATGCTTCTAAAGTTGTTTCCCCTTATATTGGTTGACCATGATGAATGGGTTGAACTGAACTATTCAGTAGTAGCCTACCAAGGGTGACTATTTCAGCCCAGCTTGGCCTGCGATGTGTGCACACATATGCATACACAATATGTTTATATTATAAAATATTATATAATATACTATTTGTAATAAATTATATATATATATAAAATATTATGTATTATGTTTATATTATATATATATATATATATATATATATATGCAAAGATATTTTATTTTACATACAAAGAGTTGACAAACGGGTCAACTCATGTATGAGAATTGTACTCCTAGTCAAGGCCTTCATTCTAATTCCTAAGCAATGTAGGGCACTAGGACTTGGGACAACACACTCGAGTAACATTATTGAGCGTTGTCCCCAGTTCCACATTGTTTAGGAATTTGAATGATTAACTTCATTTATAAAATGAAAGACACGCCTAGCATAGGAATTAGAATGAAGCCCTCCCCCTATTTTTTGTCTAGGCCCAAAGCCAAGCCAAGTTTGGCCTAGTTGGCTAGTATGGCCCCATGCACTTTTAATTCACATATTATACATCATATAGTTTAAAATTTTATAAAAATTAAATTTTCATTTATTTATGCATATATGCCCAACCAGGCCTGGCCCGGCCTATGGTACCCCTAATTCAGTAGCTGTTTAAAAAATATGGAGAGCCAAAGTAGTCTTTCAGCCACTTGCATGGCTCTCATATCAAATGTGGTCTTTCAGCCAAAGTTGTCCTTTTCACCATAGTTGTATATTCGACTCTTTTCAACTGCTATTCCTTAGCTGCTGTTGTGAACCAGTTAAAAATAAGCATCAGCTCTCCTAAATGGGGCCTTAATTATGGTTTCACTTTTTATGTCTAGCTTTGGAACAGTGGGCAGGTTTGAATAGTATCATCAAAAAGATAAAATGCATGTTTAGGGCTGCAACTTGCGTGGGGTGGGGTTGAGCATTTGTTAAAATTTAATGGGCCCAGCACAAAGGCCTGTGAGCTCGATAATGTAAATTCTTAGAAGTTGAGAAATGTTAAGAAAAGGCATGTTAGTTGTGATGAAGAAACTAATTGGAGGATTATTCTATGCTAATAAATTAAGGTGCCGCTTAACGGTATTCATCACTTAAGGAGAAATATAGCGAGGGGAAGTTCCTGATCAATGGTTCAAACAGTATTCTATGCCATGCATTTCTTGTTTATTGGAATTGTTTTATTAAGCTGTTCTTTTGTTTACCTTCCCGCCCTCTATAAAATCATCAAGTTAGCGTATTTGATGTTTTTTTCCTCGTTTGAACCATCGAACTTGGCCATGCTAGAAAAGATTAAACATCTTTTTAACCATAATCTGATGCTAGCGGGTTAAATAGTTTGTCATTGATGGTGAGAGATTGAACTATAAAAAATTGATGACAGATAGTAGTCTTGGTATTCAAAGTTCTGTCTTGTTCAAAATTATAAGTACCTTTTGCTGCGTTTGGTTGCAATGCAATTTTATTTGCACTAATACAAATGCATGGGAAAACAAATTCTTTTAGACTATGTTTGGTTTGAAGGAAAAAGTAGGGAAAGGAAGGGAAAGGTAGGGAAACCTCTACAACCTTTCCCTTTCCCTTTCCCTCAAACCAAACACAGCCTTACTGGATTTATGGATAAGAAGTAGCTTTAAGATTTCTGGATCTTACCACCAATTTTACTTGATGCTGATCAGGTCTTGCTCTCCATCTGCTCTTTGCTAACGGACCCAAATCCTGATGATCCACTTGTGCCTGAGATTGCTCACATGTACAAAACTGATCGAAACAAGTACGAGTCCACTGCTCGCAGCTGGACACAGAAGTATGCCATGGGATGATGTCAGAAGTCCTGTCTCTGAAGGAATGTGTAGACCAGACCATATGTTTTTCCTCTTTTTTCAGCAAAATTCGTGTTCGTGGACAGTTTGATTAGAAATCTCAAAGACTCTGGGCTTTGTGAAATGTAATTCCAGGGACGTCAAAAGGGGGGCTAAACTGTAACTGTATTAGAAGGGTGCCTTGTTGCTGCTTTCTTTTAGTTTGCTTGTCTATTCTTGAAATCCCTGATTTTATGCAATCTATATTTTATTTGGTGCAGATCTCTTTATATGGCTCTTTCATAGCAAAGTCCAACTGTGATGTTTTTTTATTTTCCGCAAGACCCCCTTATTATTACTAGGGGTGAGCATGGGTTGGGTCGGTTTGGTTCTATGGCAGAAGTTCAGAACCTGGAACCTATCCTGTAGGGGTTGGTTTCAGGTTTTTGGAACCGAAATCTATTCTTTAGGGGTCGATTCCAGGTTTTTGGAACTAGAATCTATCTTGTAAAGGTCGGTTTCAGGGTTGGTTCTGGTCTCGATGATTTTAAGGTTGGTTCTATGGTCTAGCCATGGAACCTGTACTTTCTTTGTTCTCCTTCACAAAAAAAATGCATGCTTTTAAAAACTTGATTATATGGTTGAAAACTTATAAATTAAATTTAAATTTTATAAATATTACCTTTGACACTATTTATTATATACACTTAAATATTAAAATGAAAACAAATGATTGAATTACTTAATTAACTTAATGGTCAAGTGAGACCATGGCCTTTGTAACCATAAATGCTTGGATTCAAACTTTTACATCTTCAAAAGTATAATGGGGTTATTTCAAGGCAAGTTTGGTTCCAAGGCAGGTTTTAACAAGGTTGGTTCCACCAAGTGTCAATTAAGGTTGGTTTGGGTAGGGTAAATTTCTAAACCCTGAAATCGGCTTTGGTGGGAGCCAGCAATGTTTTAAAAGTGCAAGGTCGCAAAAAAGGCATATGGGTCAATTTGTGCCTGAGGTGCGTGCCTTTTTTGAATTAAGGCACAAAAATACAAACAAAAAAAAACTAAAAAATAGAAAAGCCAAAATATTAAACATAATATTAATAAAAAATATAAACTTTAAATTTTAAAATAAATGTTTTAAAAAACCTATTATCTAAAATTAAAATATATAAACATAAGATGTAAAGCATATTTAAATGAGAATTTAAAAATAAAATCAAACATATAAAACATTTTCAAGCATGTAAAACCTCTAATATCTTTTTCTCACTCAATTGCATTACTTCAAGTAGCTAATGTAATGTAAAACATATTACATTTTTTATTTTACGAGCCGCCTTTGTGCCATACCCCTCGAGGCAAGCGCAAACAAGTCCATGTTAGGTGTTAAATTGTTAATTCTCACACAAAAAATTATAAATTTATAATTTTAATTGCTTTTTAAGAAAATATTTTATTATGATGAATGAACGAACAACTTTAACTAATAGCGTCGAATTTTCAAAAGGCGCACACATGGGTTGAGGCGCAAGACGCATTAGGCACATGCCTAGCGCCTTTTGAAAGGGTTGTGCCCAGGACCTAGGTGATGCACAACCCTAAAATGCTCTTTGCCTATGCACCTAGGCACACCTTTTAAATCACAGGGAGTCGGTTCCAAGAATTTGGAACTAAACCCTACCCTATAACAGATTGGGTAGCGTCGGTTCAAGGCCAGTTTGAGGTTGGTTCCATTTTGTTTCGGGTAGAATTTACCCATTTGCTCACCCCTAATTATTACCCATAATGATTAGACTTGAAAATTGGGTTGGGTGGGTCGGGTTTGGGTTGAGTCAAAATAGTTTGAGTTGATTTTAGGTTGGGTTGAGAAATGCTAGACCCTAAATGTTTGGGTTAGGTTGATCCACGAGTCAAATCAAGTCAACCAAAAAAATAGTTAAATTTTAAAACATAAAGAAAAAATACAAGAAAATGCAAAAATAAAATGAATTAATCTTAAAATTTGAAAAATAAAATAAAATACTTAAACATTTAACAATTCAAAGAATAAACACTAAATAGTAAAGATTAAAAAGTGGAAATTTCTAATCGAGTTAGCGAGTTGACCCATGACCCAATCCAACCCAACCCTGGGTTGGGTCAGGTCGGGTCATTCTCAAATTCAATTTTTTTGGGTTGAATTGGGTTGGGTAAACTTTTCGCCAGGTCCAATAAGAATCGATTACCTTGTCCGTTCCATTGGAAAATAATTACATACAATTGTTGCGTATTAGATTAGATACTACTTTATGCCATCAGTTCATTTACATGAGTTAACTTTGTCTCTCAAGGTGCTAACAATGTCGTCGCATGAATAGTACTGGTAGACGGTTCAAAATATGGACATTGCGGGTATAGATATGGATATATTTTATGGTGAAAAGATATGGATATGTTAAAAATAACAGACGGCAAATTCTCGTCTTCTTGAAATCAGTTGGCCATGTATTGCCTCCTTGGCTAAAGCTGTGGATCACATGTCTTCTCAGTTCGGCCACGTCTCCACCTCTCATTTTTTTTGGTAAAAAAACTCAAGAACACAAGGAGATTAGATTTCTGCTGCTGCTGAAGAAGCATCTGATTTTGAAATAAAAAAGGCCTAAAATCTTATTTGACAGGGAGGAGGCACGAAGTAGTGATGACTGAAATAAAGTTTCTTTCATTTTTTTCCTTTTATCTCTTTGGCTGTCGTGTTCCTACTCTGGAAACATGATTCTTTCTCATTACTCTCTCCGTCTCTCTCGCTCTCTCTCTAGTTACGTGGGTGTGAGTTTATTAAGAACACGAGTTTTCTTGTTGCAGTAGACATGAACGTTGTAACGAGCCTCCCGGAGAGGCTGAGATCTCTGGTGGGTTTAAGAGGACGGGATTACTGTGTTCTGTGGAAATTGAACGAAGACCAAAGGTTGGTATATTAATAAATGGACTCTCTCTCTCTCTCTCTCATGTTGATGGAGTTATCTTATAGGTCTATTGAGTGGATGGGTTGCTGTTGTGGCGGAGCTGAGAATGCCGGAAATGGTGGGGAAGAGCTCCAGCTTCCGGTCTTAACGAATTGCTTTGGATCATGCCCTTGAACACTGGGTACATTACACCTCTCTGTTTCTACTCGTTCTCTCTTCCTTTCCACCCAGTTTTTCTCTTCTTCCCCATCATAAGTTGGTTGCACAGTCTTTGCCCTTTGCCATTCTTGTGTATTTATTATTCCATTTTCTCTTTCCATTCAGTTTGTGTGATTATTTCATTTTCTCTTTTCGCCTCTTCTGCCTCATTTTCCCTTTTTTTTTGAAATTTTCTTTGTTTCAATCGACCAATAGGAAGCATCATCACCAGCCTCTTTGGTCCGTTTTCGTCTACTTCTTTTCCCCCTCACTTATCTTTCTTTCTATTTTCCCTCTCATTTCCTTCATCTCTTTCCTCCCCTCCCCACTTTCTCTCATTTACTTCATCTCTGTTAAAGCTGGCTGCGGCTGGTGAGTTGTTTGTGTGGTTTGGGAGACCGGATCTACTCCTCACACATGCGCCTCACACTGGCCTCACAGATGTTCCAATGCACAGTGGGATGTGTGCCTTGTGTAAGGAGTAGATCCGGTCTCATGGTTTGGTTCACTCACCGTTAAAGCCAAACCTCATCGGATCTAAGGGACACCCGTTAATTTTAGAGCTCCTGGATTGACCGGTTCTATATTTTCAAAATAGTGAAGGTACCCGTTCGGTTTTGATTAACCAATTTTGGTTAACCTATATAAAAACTAATAGTTAATCGAACCGATCGATATATATATATTTATTTTTACTTTTTATTATATATTTACATATTTATTTATAAAATATATTATAAAAATCAAAATACCGAACGATTTCAGTTTAGTTTCAGTTACTGATTTTTTAAAAGTTGATATTACCGATTTGGTTTACAAAATAGGTCCATGATTTTGATTAACTAAAACGTGAGCACCTAAGATGTTTTATGAGTAAGCCAAATATTTTGGATTGGCGTGATGTCAAATATCTAAATGACCCATTGAGCTCACGATACCCACATAACTACATTCCCTCGATTTATTTGAAGTTCAAATTTGTTGTAAAAATAATAAACAGAAGGCATAAGGGAATTTATTAGTCAACACTTTCCAAATCCGAAATGCAGAAGAATTGTGGAACTATTGTTGAGAAAGTGAGAATTGTAGTTAGTAGAAGGGATGAGTTGTGCCACTTGGTCATTCTCCTTAAAATTGCATTTGTTTCTTACGATGCAATTAGATGAATGCAAATTGATTGTCAAGATAAAATAATCCATAAATTACTATTAGACATGCACTCACTTACTAAACCTCTACGAACTATTCAAAGATAATGCTCAAATATGAATGAATGACAGAGAAGGTAAAGACTATGTTGTGGGTTCTATGTAACTAAGTCGACGAATACTCTATTTATAAAGTGCTTTCAGTCACCCAAACATATATAGAGATGTGTTTCTCCAAAACAAGCACTAGTTGGAAGAGATATAAATAGAAGAGGAAGAAAACGTTTAAACATTAAAATTAAAACCGGTGATTAAGAATCAAACGACCAAAGAGGTAAAACAATATGGTGTGGTGCACGCGTACAACCGTACATTTGCCCACGCTCACTCCCCAACCTAGCCTAGCTTGACCAAAGAGGAAAAACAATATGGTGTGGTGCACGCGTACAACCGTACATTTGCCCACGCTCACTCCCCAACCTAGCCTAGCTTGACCAAAGAGGAAAAACAATATGGTGTGGTGTACGCGTACAACCGTACATTTGCCCACGCTCACTCCCCAACCTAGCCTAGCTTGACCAAAGAGGAAAAACAATATGGTGTGTGGTGTGTGATGCACGCCTATGGCAAAAGCTTCACTTGCACAATTAGATAATGGATTAAATGATCCACCTATAAATTTTGAAGTGCTGGGGATTTGTAGGGACCATCTCCCTGGAGGGATTTTTGGTCTCCTCTGGCGAAGATGCTCCACCTTGATGCTTCTAAGAATCCTTTCATCCCATATCATTCTCACCAATATACTAGAATCTAAGAATCCTAGCGATTTTGCTTCACAATAAAATCTCCAAACCTAGTTATATATTTTGGGAGACCATGAGAGATGGATGTTTCTCCGAGAAGGTAGTTAGATATGTAACTTGGGGTATTGGGTAAATTGATTGAAGGGTTCCACTATGATATGGAAAAGATATAATATCTGAAAAACTTTTGATTAATCAA